CAGGCACACGCCACCATGCCCAGCTAATTTTTTATATTTTTAGTAGAGACGGGGTTTCACCATTTTGACCAGGATGGTCTCGATCTCTTGACCTCGTGATCCACCCGCCTCGGCATCCCAAAGTGCTGGGATTACAGGCGTGAGCCACTGTGCCCGGCCTGACATTCAAGGTCTTTTTACCTCCTAGGTAATCTCAGTTAGTTTGCTGTAGCCCTGTTAGCATATAAGGGGAATGTAGTCATGATATTGGCCCTTAGCCAAACCTGAATAAAATGTGTTAACTAGTAATTAATGCAGTCCTGTTCTGGGGTCTGAAACACACCAGGGAGCAGCCTGTAACATGTGGTCTGCATTTTTATAGAAAACATGCATACTGATGATTGGCATCTGGATCTACCAGTGAGGAAAGAGACCCAAGCTTCTAGGATCACCTCCCCCTTCACTTCCACACTGTATTTCAGTAGAAAAAAAGGCTGGTCAACCAGCACCTCCTTAATCACCTCCCAATAGATAGCAGGCATAGTATGGGGGAATCTTTCAGGAAGGCACTGTTTTTACTTAAGCAAGATCAAACCCCTACCCCATGCCTACTCCATGGATCAAGACCCTTTCACATGTAATTTCTAAAACTGTAAACCCAAGACCCTTTCACATGTAATTTCTAAAACTGTAAACCCAAGACCCTTTCACATGTAATTTCTAAAACTGTAAACCCAAGACCCTTTTACATGTAATTCCTAAGGCTATAAACCCAAGACCCTTTCACGTGTAGTATCTAGAGTTGTAAGCTTATATAAAGGCAGAGCTTCTCTTTGTTAGACGAGCTTGGCTGTTAGACAACTATGTCGCCTTGCTCCCGGCCGAATAAATCACTCCTTTCTTCCTAGTTTGGTGTCTGAGAGGTCTATTTCTCATGGCTGTTCCTGCTTCATTTTGGTTCCCTGACCAGGAAGTGGGTTTTGGTTGGCAGACGGCCAGCAAAGCCTCTCAGGTGGTTTACCTAGCCCTTCAGAGCATCCCTGCGGGAGGGGGTGGGAGGGTTGCACCCACTTAGGTGATGCAATTCCTGAGAGCACTCCTGGGCAGGTATTGGCCTGGAGGAAAGCGTCACCAGAGCAGAGCTGGGAAGCCCCTGCAGTGTGGATCCAGCCTGCGGCTGAACACTGAGAAGGAATGGGTACTTGGAATGTCCAGACAACAAAAACATGGTAGGATTGACCCCAGGAAACTTGCCCACCTCCTTTAGATGGAAGCATGGCCTGATCACCCACATGTGCTGGATTTGGCACTCCTGAACTTGGCTCTCTTTCTCTCTCTCTCCTTTGGCAACTAACCTCAGAAGTTCTGCTTATGGTTTCGATTTGGGTGGAGGGAGGAGAGCGATTGTGTGAGTCAATAGAGGGGTCCCACTGGACTCATCGGCCATGAAATGTGGGAGCATCAGGCCCATTAGAGGGGGTCTTACACTCCGAGTGACATGTGGGGCTGGTTGGAATTAAAGACGACCACTTAAGGCTAAATGGAGGAGCTCTCGCAATCTAGGCATTGTGAGAGGATTAATGATCTCTCTTATGCCAAGTGGCATCTGAAATACTTA